GGACTTGTTGATCCTCTCTCTGAAATGCAGTGGAGCTTGGGGAAAGAGCCAGTGATTAAATGTTCTTCTCCACAGTTCTCCACAGAACTTATTACTCTTGTCAGGTACATGCTTAGATGCACTTCGCTGTATCATTCCCTCTATTTCTCTTCGCACATACATACACAAATAGTTTAGCATTTTATTTTTTTATGTGCAACAATTAGATGCAATACAAGCATTAAAAATAATTGCGCTCAGAAAGTGGAAATATATGTGCTTTTAAGTGTTTTTGCCAAAGCTGGGCGAAAGCATAAATAAACATGAGCATAAACACAAATCTCTCCTGACTGACAGCATCTGCATTCAGAAATGATAAATATCTTAACCTGTTAAGTGGCTTTGTGTTCCCACTTGATAGCAGAGATCATTTCGGAATCAGTTGAAGAAGAAATATATGGAAGCTCAGGGATTCAAGTGGAGGGGATTGATGAGAGGAGGGGGGTGAATGGCTTACAGTATATGAGGTAGCTTTCACTCTTCTCTCTGATGTTCTCTCTGTTCACTTTTTGTTCCTTTGAAATCAGTAGGCGGAGAGGTTTTATTGACTTGCCTGTAGCGCTTTGTGTACATCTTCACCATGTAAGCTTAATATTCATGTGATAAGATGCCAAGCCCTTGCAATTCATAACATAAAGTATCAGCTCTTCCCCATTTTAAATGCTAAAAGTAGTCTTTCAACAAACTACATAGATGAATGCTTGTGAAAAGTAGTTTTGGCTTATTTATGATACAACGACCCTCTTCAGGCCTGTTTGAGAAACTTCATATAGACTGTATATAAAAGATGGGCTTATATGTGATTTCCACTGGGGCCAGCTGCATCATATTTCAATGCTTGTAAATCCATGGCTCTCTCTACCTCACAGCACCAACCGTATAGTTTGGAAAGGCATATGGGTCAGGACATTTTCAAAATAAAAGACCTTGTGTAAACTAAATGCTGTGTTTCTGAAATGTTTCTGTTGTGCAGAAGGTGTAGAAGAAATATTAAAGAACAAATCTGCATCACAGACCCACACCGAGTATATACACAGTGTTAGCCTCCAGGCATTCTTTCTAATGGCAACAAGGGGATCGCTGTTGTTAGAGTTGAGTGCCCTCAGTGGCCTAAATGCTCAAATCAGAACTGCAAGTCCACAAACCAATTTGCAACTAAATGATGGCTACATCCATTTTTTATAGTCTATAACATCACTCTCGCTTGCTTCCAAAATAAATAAATATTTTATTTTATTCCATTAGAAGCATGTATTGTAAATATCTTTGAGTGTTCGCCGAACATAGCTTGGTCTGAAACCATCATTTACTCCAAGTAACTTGGGTTTAATATGCCAGTTTTTGGGTCATGTATTTGTATTCCTAGTAATTAAAATGAACCTCATAGTTAGTTACTTTAATTAGACAACGACAGATTGGCACAATGGATAGCTCATAACATGTTCCCACATGCATGCCTGTATCTTTTGGTATCTACATTGCAGTCATGTACTTCATCATTCCTCTGTTTTTTATACACTGCTTGTGTCTTGCTATCTTGCTCACCTTGTATCTCTATCTGTCCTCTCTAAGGGTACTTGTGTGTGCTCGTGTGTGTTTGTGTGTGCCCGCTATTCTTTTGGGCTTTTCTCTCCTGATGATCTCCTCTCATCCTCCGTGGAGCAGCCTTAATTACAGTGTGGCTCTTCGCGCTCTGCTTGGTGCTGATTAAAAAGGACACTGACGCTCCATGGGGAAAGCATGACTGGGAGTTTGTTCACTTTCATGCACACTCTGCTTATCGCTGTCTGACCAGCTCCATTACCATGGCTTTGAGGCCCAGTTTGTAATTGCCTCTCTTTATTACTGTGCCTACATGTCAGGCCAGGGAACAAGGACCCGCTGCATCCGGCGAGAGTGTGTGGCAAGCCAGGAATGCACGCACGCACACACATACATACACATAAACATGCACAGTGTGAATCTGAATGCTACAACCCAGGCCAGGCAGAAAACAAAGCATTTTCAAAGTGAGCTAGTGTCATGCTGAGAACAATTGACCTAATAAAATAGAGGCCCTCAAACACTTGCACATAAAAAGCCTGACTTAGCCTGATATGGTTAACAAACCAAGGGTTTCGCAATTCATTCTTTTAAGGTTCTTGTCTGTGATGACAAGGTTTTGATTTCATAATGTATTACCAATTTCAAAAAAAAAAGACAGAAAGGGGCACAACCATCGTGTTTATTCTTTTTTTAAACAAGCGTGAACAATGACACTAGCTTTGAAAAGGCATGGCGCTGTTTTTAACATTGAACACATACTGTAAAAGATAAAAGGCATCCACTAGTTTGTTCACTCCAATTATGAAGCCAGTATTTTAGCTTTATTGCAATTGCTTTTTCATTTATTTAATTATTTATTGAGTGTTGTGCAAAGGTCTTGAATCAGTCCCCATTTCTTTACATTTAGCTAACAAGGGAAACAATTTTCAACTAATTAATGACCTGGCAAAAAACCTGAGAGATGCACCTGGTCCTTCAGATGATTCATCTACTGTTTGTGAAGCTTCATCCCAAATGCTCTCAGTGGAAGAGTCGCTAGAAAGAAATCATAGGGCCCTAGGGCTATTATTATCATCATTATTATTGAATTTTGATTATTATTTTTAGTTTCCCAAAACACCAAAAGCCACAAAATGCTCAGAATTACAATTAAATAAACAAACATAAAATAAAAAATATTTAAATTCAGTGTGTCGGCTTTTATTTTAAATATGTTTCAGTATTCCAAATATTAACTTACAAGCTTATTAGAATTGTACAAACAATGTTTTTGCTTTAAACACAGTATTTCCATGTATGTTTCCACATATTTTTTTTTTTTTAAATGAACTATTTATTTGTCTGTTTAATTTTTGGAGCTGGAAATGATCATATTAGGACATGGTTAAAGCTAAGTTTTCACTTAATGCTAGCAAGCTTGTCTGGCCACAGACTGCATATTTCTACATTTGTCCATTTGAGGAACTACACTTCTTGGCACTTCAATGTGTGCTATATTTTTTAGTCCTAGGTTGGTACACAAATTAAAGCTGAGGCTAATACAAAGGTGATATTTTCAGAATAAGTTAAAGTGTTGGACAAGTTAAACTTTTTGGGGTTGGTGATGGTGCTGGATGAATTAAGCAATCCCCGTATTCTAAAACAGGTATCTAATGGTTTTTTGGACATTCAAATTAAATTTTAAAGCAATAGCCAGCAAATAATAGGTGTAATTCTTACTATTTCATCCTTGGTATTATCTGTACTATAAAAATGTTTAGTGGATTAAATTCCATGTATTGGGACGGCGTTTGTAACCGCAGACTCGATAGCTTGACTAATGGAGCATATTTTTATTAATGGGAAACACGAGTTGGTAATGATGCAGTGCTGAGTCCCATATATTAGACAACGTTACCTGTAAGTCATTCCTTAATGGAGAGTATATGAATATATCACTTAATTCGGCTGTTCCTTACCTTTGGGACCTTGACACAACAGCGGGTGAAAAATTTTCAACACAACAACACGGCGCAGAGCTGACACAGCACCTGTCATCAAGATGGAAAGTACGCGTGATGCCAGAAGTAAAACAGGCAGATGTCAGCTGTGCTGACTGCCTTAGCAGAACATCCTCCAACAGATGGCAAATCTCTGTGATGAAGACCCTGAATATATGTTGAAGTCAGCATATTTACATTCGGTTGTTTTCTTTTTTGAATTGTTTTCTGTGTTTCATACCAACTTTTAGGGGTGCATTATGGAAAACATGGGGAACAAAGTTAAATGTGGAAAATGAGCTAAAAGTATTAAGATTGAAGTTGTAATATTTTTTAAAGATCACAAGTTGAAATATGAAGAACAAAGCTGACAATCCAAGTCAAAGTGTAACCACTACTGCATGGCTATCTTGACAAAGTGCCTCGGGCTCATGAATTAGTGAAATCACATTTCAAAACTGGTTTAAATCATTTCTCTTTTGGCACATAAACAGGGTGAAAACAAGTGTAAGAAACCTGAAGAGCTTGTGCAAAAAAACAGCATGTCTGGAGAAAGAAAACCCTCAAGAAAGAGTTGGTTGCCATGATGTAAACTGACATAGACGGTCAAGACATATGCAAGGATCATATGATCTATCAAAAGAGGCAATAAGACAGTTGATCGAATTGTTTAGATTAACCCTTGTATGGTGTTCGGGTCTGTGAGACCCGTGTTCAGTTTTTTTCAAAAGAAAAATTAAACAATTAATTATTTTTTCACGTGTAAATGTGTTGTGTCTTTCCACTCACTCCACTTGATTATAACTGATTTATTTATAACATTTTATATAAAAGAAAAACGAGAAGCACATTAATTCATAAATGTGATCTAACAAAGGTAAAGGGAAAAAATTAACCATGTTTGCTGTTCATATGGCTTGTAATTGGGATGAAGTAAACATCTGTTGAGTAATTTAACATAAAATTGTTTGATAGTGTTAATTTGGAAAGCCAAAACTCTAGCGGGTCCACCAGACCCATGAACACTGGCTGAGTAACAAAAATACGAACACCACACAAGGGTTAAACATATTTTGTATGTGTAGGACACAAATCTCTTTTTACTTGTAACATATGTCTCTCTGTGTATATATGTCTGGGTGAGCCAGTATGATTGAATGAATGAACATTGTCAGCAAATCTTAACATTTATATGTTTTTAGAAATCATTTATTATAAATCCCAATTCTTTGGATTTTCATATATAATAGGTTAATATTATCTTCCCCCTAAAAATGCCATGCAATGTTCTCCATTTGCATGTGTTTCATGTGTCCAACAGTCTTTAAAATTTGTTCGACAGGTCACTACATTCGAAATTAAAATTTTGATAAAGCCCTGCAGGCCTTTTAGCAAATATTAAATAAATGACACGTTTGCTTTTTTCCTTTTTGACAGGCTTGATGAAAACGAGAAGAGATTTAAACCTGCTCTTTCTGCCTTTGACTTCCAACTCCTCCTTTACAACCTGACGGCTCTCAAGATCAGCAATGCTGGGGGACACAACTGTAAGTGTTGGTTTGTGTTTATGAACTTGTCCCAACAAGCATATCCAATTCATTTTTACATGACTTACACTGGAGCCTTAAATGGGTGGTATGTGCTGTAGGAGCAAATAAAATCTATCAAATCTATTTTTCTGAAAGCACTATTTACAAATAATGCCAACATTTAGAGGCCTACAAAATTACTAAAATCATTGTTTTTTATGACCGTTTTCTTTAACCAGACAGGAACACATAATTCAAGCTGCAGCAGAACTTGCTAGTAAATCGGTGTTGGTGTTTGTGCTCGAGGAATCGTTCAACTGTCCCCTATCTGGCTCTGCAACAGAACGGGACATTTATTCCCAGATGTTTGCGATGAGTTCTTGAAATTTGATAGTTTGTATTGTAATGAACCAGCGGGATCTGAGAGGCATTACGGTGGATTAAAGCGTGGAGGAGACAGAACAGCTGGACAAAATCACCAGCTTCCTCACACTTACTTACACCATTTTAATTAGCTGCTTGGTGCAGGCGTCACCACACAGACTCTTATGTAGTTCCACATGCATGGCGTTTAGGCACAAAAATAAAAAAAACCCACACACACAGGCACACTCATGCATATTCCATCAAACTGTTTTCTGTACCCACCCACCTACCTACCCACATGAACGTGGTATCAAAGTCAAGCACACAGTTTACACTGCATCTTTTGCACATTATGGGGGAGAAACTGTTAATGACTTGTGTTAGGTCTCAAACTCATTCTCAAACAGTGTTAGAAGTGCTTTATCGCTGCAGGCGGTGCAACAAACTTTAATATCCAAACCCCATAAAGCTGTCCTCTCATCATTCTCATCTCTGCCTCTCACATTTTCCTTCATTCTTTAAAATTCTCCCTGCACCACAGAGAGTGTCTTATTAACAGAACTGTATTACTTAAGTGACAGTATTGTCTTTAGGTTACTAAGGCAAGGCTGTGATGACAGTCGCAGTAAAGAGCTTTTATTTTCCCCACCACAAAAAAAAAATTAGGTTTGAAAAGCAAGTGTGGCCGTATTGAAAGTTTATGGGAAATCAATGGCTTAATGGTTAAATGTACAGGCGCCTAAGGAGACCTAAATTGTCAGAGTCTGCCAGGCTGCTGTAAAGTCATTTGTTGCAAGTAAAATCTCAACTGCTCTGACAAGGTTTCCTGCAGAAAAAGGATTGATGGAGAGAACTTGCGCAGCACGACTTAAAATGGAAGGCTTTTAATTAACCAAAATATAGGCTTCAGTATCTGAAAACTGTTTTAATTGCACATTTCCACCCGTTGAACGAGCTAATAGAATTCAGGAGCTACTGGAGAGTAAAGGGTAGAGGCTAAGGCAAGTCGCGGAAAGGGAAGAGGACTGGCTTGCCTACTGATTATCCCTCAGAGGTGTAAATGAACCGTCTTTCATCACCGCTCAAGGAATCTCTGAATCATGGCTTGTTAGATGTCAAGGTCCATCCTCTCCTCTGGTTCTTCCACTGTCTCGCCCCTCGCCGTTTCTGCCACTCAGGTCATTATGCAGTCGCTCATCCACACTTGGTTTATTCCTTATCTGACAACTGCTACATAGTCATACGTGCATAGAATCTGTCCGTCTATCGTCTGTCTGGCTATTGAAAACGGACACGGTAATGTACACCAAAAGTAATTTTGTGTTCTGCGGCTGTGGCTCAGGCAGTAAAGGGTGAGAGGGATACAGTTCAGCATGGCCTGCCCCCATCACTATTCATGAGAGGAGAGCGGGATCTTGAAAACCCCACAGGAACTGCACGTTTGACATACCTCCACAGAGTCTCCTGTCTGTTTTTTTTTTTCTTGTCTTGCTCTGCTGCAGTGATTTATTCATTTGCTATATCAAAGAGTCCCTGGATCACAAGTGTACGTGTGTGGGCACGTGCAGGCACATGTGTGTAAGCAAGCATTAAGTGCGGCATTTATGGCCGTGTGGGTGGATGAATCGGTTATGTGTGTATCTGACTGTAAAATGTAAACACAGGCCAAAACCTATAATGAGACAGGGAGAGAGGGACGGCACTGCAACAAATGCTAATAACCTACTGCTTAACAAGATGCAGAGACCTCCCACTATCACCACCACCACACACACACACACACTTGCACCTGTCGCTTATTCCAGAGAAAGATTTGTATTAACATCTTTGACATTCCTCCTTTTCCTTCCTTGCCAGACACATCACAGCTCGCAGGAGTAACCATGACCTCAGCAGTCGTCTCAGCTGACCCAGCCTTTCCTCCTGCTCTGTGGGTGGAATCCTGTTCCTGTCCCCCGGGCTTTGCGGGCCAGTTTTGTGAACAGTGTGCCCCCGGATTTACCCGGGAAGAGCCTGCTAGAGGGCCTCTCTCGGCATGCGTTCCATGCAACTGCCACCAGCATGGAACGTGCCATCCAGAGACAGGTAATAAGTGAAACATTGACATTGCGTTGTACACAGCTGTGTTCATGTGATAAATTAGAAAAATGTCAGGAATTCATAATGAATTTGGTGCCACTTCACTGACAGCCAGTCAGCAGTATTTCTGTTTCAGCGACTCCAGCTGAAGTAGGGAAAAAAAAGCATGAAAATGTTGAATTCATAAATCAAGTGCATTTCATTTTTAAAGGTGCACTTCACTAGTTTCACAGTCAACGTACTACTTATAGGGAGTGTGCCACAGTCTGTCAAAACAGCTTTTTTTAATCTCTCTGTGTCTTTGGGGGGCCTTGGTTGTATACGAGAAAACATCTTGAGTGTTGGTCAGAAGTGTAAACTAAAGTTTGGAGAGTATAAATATAAAAAAGAAAACACATATGGCAAACTTCACATGGAATTCAGAAGTCAAGAGTGGTCTAAATAATAAAGAATAATCCTTTTTAATAGAGGTGGATTTTTGTAAATAGCCTATAGCTCGCTATCTATTCGTCCATCTGTCCATTGTCACAGGGTCCATTTACTGGAGGTCTGTGGTGAATCTATGTAGAGCCAATGCGGGCTATGCCGATGGCAGCAGGCAGGGAGGTAATGGCGTCCGGTTTAGAAGTGCAAAAGAGTCCACGCACATCCTCCTCATCCTAGGGGGCAGGTGTAGAGCTGAAAAATGCAATAAAGAAGAAGAAGTAATGATTCGCATAATGCAGTTTTGCAGATTCCTTATTTATTGCATCTGGTAATGTTTGTGAATCCAATATCTCAAGAATGAAGAGACATAGGAATTTGAAATTGATACCACAAGTGTCTCTACTAAAAATCCTGGGCGAGGTCAAATCTCAGTGACCTCGATCTCAAGGTTCAGGTCAAAGGCCAGGCTTTCTGAAAATCTCGTGAATGCAATAAGTTGAGAACAAGGCAACGTAGGATTTTGAAATTGATATCATAGGTGCATCTACTAGGAGGCTCAGGATTCTAGTATTCAGCAAGTATTTTTGCAATTGATTTCACCCAGCCAGCAACCCTTCCACATTTTTTCCAAATCATCAGCAGTAGCAAGGGGGTCACCGACTGGTCTCTAAGCCTGTGAGATTGGGGCCTTATCCAGCTTAGAGTTACCAGGGGGGTCTGGATTCTTTCCCAGCATACAGTGGAGAAATGTTGAGTACACC